CAACTTCTCTCTGATGACTTGTCAGATTTCTTTCGAAACTTCTCCTGACATTTTCGTGTGGATTTAGATATACTAATATTCCATTAGTCATCTATTACAACTCCATCTCTTGATGCACGCATCAAGTGGAGATGCGACCCTTCTTCATGTACGAGTATGTCCTATACAAGTACAGGATCTATCACTCATGCTAGTCTGTCCTAAATGTGTGCATGGACTTATAGCCATTGCTCTCCAGAGCGTTGGTTTTCACAAGTCACGTGATAAAAGGGCTGAGATTTACTCAGCGCCTTTGTTGAACCGTTAGTTGTTGTACTACAACAAGTGGCCCAAACTGGTGAATGCCTGAGACATCTTCGGGTGGCAATGTCTCTGAGGTAGTGGTTGGCAAACACCGTGTTCGATCTCCAAAAGCAGCCCTCCATTATAGTTGTAATCTAGCAGTTTCCATGCAGAGCAAGTGTTGACGCCAGGGCTCTGACTTCGTGTTGGTTGGAGGCTCGTGGAGGCTCAAGTCCTTCTGCTTTATAGGCCCTTAGTATAACGGCTCTCATCCAGATCGATATCGTTGTCCGTGAGACTTCCGTGGGCGTCCCAATGGATAAGGGGATGAATAGGTGCTTGAATTTTCGTCTCCTTTGTTTTAGTTCTCTGTAGGTAGACTTTAAGTGCTCTGACTGGGCATAAGGATAGATCCTCGTATCTTGTGGCCCAAGGACTGTAGACAGTGCTGGGATGTGGAACTGTCTGTCAGGCTGACCGGGTAGTTGGTTCTTGGCGATAAAATCCCATCTCAGTCCAAGATGTACGATGTCTTGTTTCAAATCATGTTCATTCAAAGTCCAGAGCATGTATTTCTGACATCCGTGCAGCTGTACCTAGGGCTATCAGGAACAGCGTTTTCTGAGTTAGTAGCTCAAAGGATGTCCGTTCTAGAGGCTCGTAGGCATCACTGGTGAGATCTTGTAGAACTATGTTGAGATCCCAGGCAGGAGCCTTAAATTTCTTTTGTTGGTCTTCCAACTTGAACGAGCATAGTAGTGCCAGAATCTCTGGTACTTTGGTCAGCTTGATACCTGTTTTCATGGTGATAACTGTACTGAGGGCAGCCAAGTAAGTTGAGAGTGTTGAACCTCTCAAGTGTCTCGTCTGTCGAAGATGTGGACATTAGTATTCCGCCACTTGAGGATGTGTTGCCTTTCCTCTTTGCATACAGTTCAAATTTCTGCCACTTGTCGTCGTACAAGTTGCTAATTTATCTGCGTAGAGCTAGTGTAACTGCTTTAGCTGCTCTGGCGGAGTACCCTCTCGTCTTCAGGAAAGCTTTAATACGCTCCATGCGTGTAGCTGGAACAGTGTCGGGTTCCCATGAGCTTGCTTGGTGTGTGGATGGACGAGTAGGTTCGACCACTCTGGTAGTTTCTGGGTTGGACTTCCGAGTTCTTGTATTAGGACGGGAAACCATACCCTCGCTGGCCAATAGGGCGTGACCAAAATAGGTTGCAACGTCTGCTTGATTTTCTGTAGTACTTGTGGTAGCAGTGCAGGAGGTGGAAACGCGTAAGCATTTAGTCCTTCCCATGAGATGCTTAGAGCCTCAGGCCCATGCCCGAGGATCTGGAATCGGTGAGACGAATGTTGGTAGCTGTTTGTTGAACTTTGTTGCATGCCTTCATGTAGATGTTCAGGTCATCGACTTTGCTGAACAGGAGAAAGCTGAGTTGTAGCAGACTTGTTGATCTTGTTGACCCTTGTTTGTTGATGTAAAACGCCACTGTGGAGTTGTCCGGGTGTACCATGAGTCGTGCGTTCTTTAGTACGCTGGACCAATGTTGCAAAGCGTTGATTACTGCTTTCATCTCCAACATATTGATGTGTGACTTCTGATCCTGACTCGACCACTTCCCTGCTGCCACTTCGTTGTTGAAGTGCGCACCCCATCCTTGTAGGGAGGCATCCACGTAGAGATGAGTGTTGCAAACCGGCTCTGTCAAAAAGGTTCCTCCGCAAACATTCGACTTCCGAGTCCACCAAAGGAGATATGGTTTCAGGCTGTCTGGTAGTATTAACAGATCAACTGTAATCTCCCTCTGCAAGTCATGTCTTGAGCTGACGTGAGTAGACCGAGCATGCTTTGCCAAGCACGTAGTGTCAACAGAGAGAGCATTGCTTGAGATATCATCTGTTGTATCTTGACCCAACGATCCTCTGGAACAACTATGCGATTCACTGGTGTGATAAGTCGAATTCCTAGAAATTGCAGATCTTGTTTCGGCTCCAGTTCCGACTTGAGGAGAATTACTAGCGATCCTAGTTGAGTGAGCAGCCTGATGGTGAAGTCTAGTTGCAGTCTGAGTTGAGTTGAGTTGGGCTTTACGTCACATCGGCATTATTCCAGCCATATAGTGACGAGAACAAGTCTGCATTAATATACATTGTAAGTACAAAGTGGTTTCGTTTCAAAGACATACATTCATTACGTTGTCATTTTAGAACAGAGAATGTCATAGCACTAGATTGAAAAGCAGATACATTCGTTATTGACATTACACAGTTACATTTTATGATATAGATCGACTTCCCTCAGGTAGTTTAGTATCAGATGAGCGCTAACGCTGGAGAACAGATCTTTCAGATTGGTTGCGTGATAATGCGAGTCCCTTGCAGATGTAAAATCCACACAGTCAAGCAGAATATGCTTGACGGTGAGAGCCTCATCACAGGAGAGACATATGGGGGGTCCATCCCCATCTGTTTTTAGCAGATAGTCATGTGTAAACCGACTATGGCCAATACGACATCGTCGTAAAATTACTTCATCACGTCTTGACTGGCAACCCAAGCAGGTATAACCGACTGTTGGCTTCAATTCATGGAGTTTGTTTCTTTCTACTTGGGTGTCCCACCTTTTTTGCATCAAGTCCCAGTATAGCTTTTGATAGTGGGTTTGAAATCACTGTACGGGATTAGCAGTGGAGATAGGGCTTTTCAAGAGCTGCTTTTGCTGCAGCATCGCCTTAGTGTTACCTGCTATGCCGACGCGACCCGCAACCAGCAGAGGATGATGTCATATTGGCTAGTAGAAAGGTCGTTGTACAGTTCTAATATGTCCAGGATGATTGGGTGACTTGAAGTCACGTTTAGAAGTGCTTGAAGGCAGGATAATGAATCTGTAAATACGATGAAGTTTTTGGACTGATTTTGCTGTTGAATGTAGGTCAGAGCTGAGAAGATAGCTTTGGCTTCAGCGGTGAAAATGGAACTGTTGTCGGGATCCTAGAGGAGACAGTCTTGGCTCCAATGACTGTAGCGCTGGCAACTTGGCTATCGCCCTTGGATCCGCCTGTGAAGATGGATCTGTGAGTGTTATACTTGAACGTAACTGGTTGTATTCCTGTTGGAACACCAAGGATTTGTTTCAGACTTTTTGAGTTTAGTGAGGGTAAGATCGACCTGTGGTTTCACCATTTGCCATGGTGGTGAGGACAGAAGTCGGTAAGGCGCAATGATGTTGAGATCAATTTTAGCTGCAGATATGTGTGGTTTGATCCTTATTCCAAGTGGTGGAACCAGGCTTGGCAGTTTAGGAAATAAGTTTTCATAGAGCGGGTTGAAAACACAATTGTATGCTGGATTGGACTCATTTGAACGTAATTTAGTGATATACTGCAGTGAGAGTTTAATGCGCGTTGTTCAAGGGAAGGTTCATTGGCCTCCGATATAGACTGTTCACCGGAGATGTCCTAAAAGCTCCCAGGCAGAGCCTTAGTCCTTGGTGGTGGATAGAGTCTAATTTTTCTAAATTGCTTTTGCAGGCTCCACCAGAGACAATGGAGCCATAATCCAGTTTACTGCGGACTAATGATCTGTACAGGTGAAGGAGGGTGGTCTGATCCCCTCCCCACTCTGTATTTGAAACTACTTTTAGCAAGTCTAAAGCCTTCAGGCACTTTGTTTTCACATATTTTATGTGTGGTAAGAATGTCAGGTGGCGGTCGAATATGAGTCCAAGGAATTTGGCCTCTTCTATTACTTTGATGGGAGTACCATCTAAAGTTAGGTCTGGATCCTTGTGTGGTTTGTATTTACGACAAAAGTGAATACAATTCGTTTTGGATTTTGAAAACTTAAAACCATTTTCATTGGCCCATTTTTGGATTTTGTTAAGGCAGAGTTGTAGCTGCCTTTCTATTGCATGCATGTTCTTACCACGACATGAAATATTGAAGTCATCGACGAAAAGGGACCCATCAACGCAACTGTTCAGAACTGTCTGCAGCAGTGGTTAACGCACGGTTATCAGCGCAATCACTCGATTTAGACATGACTTGTGAATACCTACGTACCCAGTCCTTAGCACGTCTATGGATGGAAAAAAGGTAATTAGTAAATTCAACAGAGGTTAAATTTACACAAAACTTACAGCGAGAGCTGAAAGAACATGAAATAGTGCAATTAGCACATAATAAATGAGGGTCAGCCGCAGACACTCGGTACCTACAACGAATACAGGTTTTCATCAAATGTAAACACAATGAAAACACAAGTCAAACAACGGAAAATTTAAATCAAATTTCAAACCGTAATGTAGAAAATAATCCTAAAAACCGTATACAGCAATAATTTTGATGTAAGGTCCGAAAATATAAAAGCATATGTGCCGTATAAGGACCCAGGTGCTCTAACAACCGTCCTCAAGGGCGAAGAAGGAGAGAGTGACAAGGCATGGTCGGTCAGGGGACCAAAAGGGCGCCAAAGGGAGAAAGGGACGCTACTCTGGGTGAGTGATTTTACGTCCGCTTTTTTAAAGGGAACTTCAAGGGATTTCAAGTGTTTCACTGTCATTCGCAAGAGGAAGGAGACAAGCATAATTAACATGAGTCAGCATAAGGAAAAATACATTCTTTTAACATCTTTCAGCATGATGTGACTTGTGACCTACTCCACTAAACCATGGAGGTGCTCCCAACAATCATGAGGTGCAGCATCCTTTTACTTACTGTGTTGGGATACTGAGCAAGAATGACTCCTGAATGTACACCGTCTGTAGTCAGCATATTCGTCACAGACTGACCTGCAAATAGAAATAGCCATTGAATATACTGGTATGGAAGGGTTAACAGATAAGTTTCTTCTCAGTACTGAAGTGTACACTACATGAGAGTTTGTAACCTGATCAAAGATACTTGGCCAAAAGAGGTCTTAAAAGGTCAAAACCTGGCAACAATTCATCATTGGCAAATATCATAACAATAACACTGAACCAATTTTGCATTCATATGCATGTTGCTTAGGCCAACCAACAGTGCTACAGTTGTCGCCTCTGCATACACTGCACTCAGCAATAACCCAACTTTATCAATAAAAATTGTATCTGGATGCGATGATCCACAAATTGAGGTGAGGTGAAATTGGTTTTTACGTCGTGCTGGAGAATATTTTGCTCATATGACGACGTGCATGCATGTGTATGTGGATGTGCGGCTGCTTGTACTAGCCCAGACTTAAGCTGGTTTTATAGTGCTAGCCCACTGAGATACCATGCCGCAGTGAAGCATGAATACCCCACTCAGACACATTATACTGACTCCGAGCCGACCAGTCCTTGTTGTACCCATTAATGCCGAGCGCCAGGCAAGGACCAACAAGTACCATATTTTAACGTCTTTTGGTATGACGCGGTCGGGGATCGAACCCGCGACCTTCCGCACTCCGGGTGGACGCTCTAACCACTACACCACGGAGGCGGTCCCTATGCAATAGGGATACAATGACATGCTTACGACAACCAGGTTTTGCTGAAGACCACTTCTAGCCCGTCTTCACTGATTACAGCTATAGCAAGGCAACGAAACAAGTCTGAATGAAAGTAGAACCAGTGGTCCATTAAGAGAGGACACAGACGGGTCCTGAGGTGCTCACTAATTAACACTCTTCTGACTCGATGTTCTTATGATAAACTATCTACTTGGCAGCTCTTCAAGGACTATAGCACTAATGCCAGTTACTACTGCTGAATCAAAAGAGTCAGTCGCTGAGTTAAACTGAGAGTTGCTTACTAAATTCTTCTCCAACCATTTCTTCCATGCTAGCATCTTGAGCAGCATTCACAGTGAGTACTTTGTCTCCCTTCGATGACTGAAACAGAGAACATTAGTGATTTTAAGAAAGGAGGGTGAATTCATGCATGCAGGAGTGCAACAGAGCCTGGCCGTGATTAAGATGATCAAATTACCTCTGCAACTTGGCTTCACATAACACTGCTGCCAGGTCAAAATATCTCAGGTGTTCATGCATGAAAAAAAGTGGGTCGAAAGCAAGTGTAACAAAAGTTGTTTTTCAAGAGGGTCAATCCATATGCCAGTGTTCTCAAATGGTGTTTCAAAGTAACAGGACATTGGGTCTTGTAAGTTTCAGATGTGTCTGACCCGATGAAAATTCACAGGACCCATAGAATAAATTTAAACACACATTTGAGATTTAACATTTATGATTTGCATTGAAATTATTAACAAACATAAGATTTATAAACAGCAAACACGTGTCACATGTCACATACAACAACTTCAGTCAAAGTCATTGCGAAATGTACAGTCAGACACTGGGGCCGGCGGGTTGTAGACTTCTATCGAACCGTTGGCGAATCTGCCGGATTTGTCAGAAGGTCTGACGCTATTCGTGAACACTGATATGCAAGGCTTATTTTGACCCAAGGTCAGTGAGTGAGAGAGTTAGTTTAGTTTTATGCCACACTCAGCAATATTACAGCTATATGGCGGCGATCTGTAAATAATCGAGTCTGGACCAGACAATCCAGCGATTAACAGCCTGAACATCAATCTACGCAATTGAGATACGATGACATGTGTAAACCAAGTCAGCGAGCATGACCACCCAATCCTCTTAGTCGCCTCTTACGACAAGCATGGGTTACTGAAGATCAATTCTAACCCAGATCTTCACGAGTTGACTCGAGGTGCAATAAAGTGACTAAATATGACCACCAAACTCAGGATTTGACCGGTCTATTGGCAAATGCAGGGGTTGTGTAAAAAAGTACATAGAGCCTGAGTGGAACTCAACATTACTACACACTCAGAAATGAACTGGCATATGACAATGAAATATTATGAAAGACAAGTTTCTCTTACTTCTCTGTATTTTTGTAGATATGCCTTAAGAGGTTCAACATAGTTGTCAAACCCTAGAGTTGACATGGCAAACAATATGTCTTCTCCGTTGATGGTCTTCCGCTTCTCTTGGTGACATCGCTCACTTGCTCTGGGCAGGGTTAAGGTCAACACACATGTACCAGTACCTACACTAGCTATTGTGCAGGACTACCAGCACACTGCACATTTCCCAAACAACTGTAGTAGACGTGTTCATAAACCACATTCCCACTTCAAGACTAGGAAACACATGATGTAGAGCAATAAAACCCATCCCCAGAAGATCAAAACCTACTAAGAAAATTAGTGAGACAGAGACAGATGGCCCAAATGCTGATTTCACCAACATTTCAAGTAGCCATACCGCACTAGTGAAAACCACGAGCATGGAAACAGTCAAACCAAGGATTTTATACATGGTGAATCAGGGACTGAAACCTACAACGACATTCCGGCACAACTGAGTCACAAACCTGTCAATGAAATCAAGATCACCAGCGCAATTCTGTGTAGGAGTAGATACCCATCAGCCAATACTGGTTTTAAGGGGCAAATAAACAGATCTTACTCTGTGACCACTGATTGTCATAATGGATAAAGGGGCAGACTTGGAGCCCTGGGCCCGGTTGTTCAATACTCGGTTATCTTAACCGCCGGTTAACTCCTAACGGCCGGTTAAATCCTTAAATGGCCGTTAGGTAACCGACCGTTAAATATGCGTTGTTCAAAACATGGTTAGTCATGCCGTTAGCTAACATCGCCGTCAAAGTTTAACAGTGTGGTTATCGTCACTGGTTAGCTTCCACATATCCCTTAATTCTGTTTTCTGTTTACTTCCGGTTTACCAAAAATGGAAACGCAAAATGTCGCCTGCACCCCAAGGAAAAAGAGAAGTCGAAATTTCTCTGCTGACAAAGAATGTTATCCAGTCAATGGTTGAGGCCAACTCTATAGTTTATCATAGGCATGCGAATGTCGTAGCGCTACGAACATTTTGTATTAGAACACAAGGTTCCAGCCGTTTGCATAATTTATATTTCAAAGACATATGATCCCAGCTCTGTGTGGGACTTACTTCAATTCCAACAACAGAAAAGATATTTTAATGAAAACTATAGCACAGCTATAGATAAAATATGATGAATCCATGAACAAAATATTAATATTAGAAGCATGTTGTCTGTGGATAGAAAATGTATAAATATTACACACAGAGTTACGCTTAGACGGCTACAGTCTTAATGAATCTTTGAATTCCCACAAGACCTATTGATCACTTTTCACTCCTTAAATTGTCATTACTGTATGGCCCAGTCGTGAAGATGATATCAATATCATTTATTAATTATTTGCCAAGTCTGTCAAAAATTGTATTGTATGAACACACATTGCCAAATCTTTTAACATCAAACAATATAGATGTTGTGAAATTAATACCATTAGCTTTTATCTGAAACATGCATTCAATGCCAATAGAAACTTAATATGTTACTAGCACCATGTGCAAGTAATCAAACTGTAATTGTACTATAGGCCCCAGGGCCAACACTGCTGAATAAAATCGATCTATTTTCCGACCTTACTGTTGACAGGAATCTCATGAATAATACTGTGCAATATCGTCATTATCTGAACGCCTTCACAGACGCATATTCCGGAAATGTCTTGAAAAACATGAAGCTGCGTCTAATTTATAGATGAACATAATTTCCTCGATACTCATTAATCAGATGAACCTTCATTTATTTCAATTCACAAGTGACTGCAGAAAATGCATAATTCTTTTTAATGACTTTACGGTCGGAAAACATGTACATGTATTATATTTCATAAGGGTATTATAGAACGCTGCAACGATTCGGCAGAGAAATACTATTGTGCCATTGTATTCCTTCTATGAACCTATCAGTGTATAACATTAGCATTCAGATATTGTTATAAAATAAGTTAAAAATTCCAAATATTATCGTGTAATATGACAAGAGATAGTGTTGTGTTCGCTGTGACAAAAAGGTTTCGATATTCAAATATAACATTTAATCAAAGTGACTACGAAGTAGGCCTGCATATCACTCACAACAGAAATAGATACATAATAATGTTTTGTTTATTTTCCTACACATCAGTTGCGAGAGCAATGTTTATGCTAACTAGGTTTTTGTCAATTTATATAGCATTTTTAAAAGATGATTTGCTTCAATTAAAACATTCGAAGAATGAAAAAGAAATTAGGCCTATTGCTGAAATGATTAGTAAAAATATAATTAAAATCCATCTATGGGAAGGGATGCCAGAAGGACATATCCAAACAAAATCGGATAATTACTTGGAGTATAGACTTTCAAAAAAGCATATTAATTAACAATTATATCAGTTTTTCATAAAATCACTAATAATTCTGAAACGTTGCCGATAAACCTGGAAACGTGTTCAGATGTTTTCATAAATACACTCACACTAACGCTTCAAGTGCACTTTAAGCTCTATTGGATAGTGTTTACAAAATCACGCTTCGCGAAGGCCGGTATTGAAATGCCAATTACATCACTTATATTTCATATTCAGCGACAAATGAATCACTGAATTCTAAGGCTGGGGACGGGTACTAGGGTACTTTCGAATCCTGGTCGGGTACAGCTGGAATCGAGTCCTATTTCTAGGAATCGAGTATCCGAAAGGGAGAGAGCTCTGTAATGACAAGGGCAGACAATAGCTTGTCTTTTTCATTTTTGACGTAACACACATTTACAACATTGAGTGAGTGAGTGAATTTAGTTTTACGCCGCACTCAGCAATATTCCAGCTATATGACGGCGGTCTGTAAATAATCGAGTCTGGACCAGACAATCCAGTGATCAACAACATGAGCATCGATAAAAGCGAATTGGGAACCCGATGACATTTGTCAACCAAGTCAGCGAGTCTTACCACCTGATCCCGTTAGTCGCCTCTTACGACAAGCATGGGTTACTGAAGATCAATATTCTAACCCGGAAATTCACGGTTTTTTACATCATTGGTATTGTCCGATTAATGGAGCATAGTTTTAATGACTGTAATTTATCTGTGCATGAGCAGTGAGTAGTTAAGTTACAGTAGCAGCAGGAACGAAACGTTCGTTGTTATAACGAGGAATGTAAGTAATGGTGTTACTCTCTATATTGGTTAAACAGACGTAACTTAAATAGCTTGAGGTCGGTTTTAATGTCTTATTACCAACTGTTCAAGTTTTCTATAATAATCTCTGTCAAATCGTGATTGAATATTCAGAAAGTTGACCGAATGTATTTCTTACATTTCGGTACTTTCGATTCAGATTCGGCACGTACATACGCGGGTACTCGATTCCATTTTTCCTACTCGTCCCAGCCCTACTGAATTCCTCATACATATTAGAATCTAATTACAACTAGTCTTTGTCACCAATACCAAGCGTCTAGATAAACTGAAACGAAAGATATTGGGGGTGGAAACAAATGCTGTGCTCGAAAGACAACACCTGTTTGAAATGTAAACAAAGACAATTTCAGACTTTACACTGTGTAGCATTTTCTCAAATTTTCAGACACCCATTTGCATGGAAAGAGCATAGTAGCAAGAAATAGGAAATTAAAAATAGATACAATACAGGAATGTGATGTGTTTACACGAAACTGTCAAGTTTCTGTGCTGCGTGACGCCATGACTGACGCAAAATCACGCAGAACGACACTGGCTTCTTCTCTTTCTTAAAATGGGAGTGTATTTGGCAATTTCTCTGAGGTGAAGGTAGGTAGAATAAGAGTATACACAATCACCATATCCCGCCAATTACACTTTCAGTATCATAATGTAATCGTTCGGATATTTTTTTCATGAAACTAATTTAATTATCTACATTTAGCCTTGTTCAATATCATATCATACGTGGGTATAGGGTGTACATGTTATATTCTTTGAAAGTGTTTGTTTGAATAATATTTACAGAAGAAATTCACACATTTAGTGTAGTAAATCATATATAAACCTTTCCACAAGTGTTAAAAAATGAAACGTAGGCATCATGTACTTGTACAACATGTATTTTAGTTCCTATGATGTGCATAGTTACAGTTTCGTATGTAACTCTTCGTCAGAATAATTTCTAACATCGAAGTCCAGTCCACGATACACCCTATCCTTTCTTTGCTGAACTGGCATCATGAAAGCAGCGTTAGCCATGAACGCCATTTGCGAGTTAACCACACTGTTAAAAAGTTAGCAGAGGTCCTTAGGTGTGTTAACTTAACGTCACGTTAACAGCCTGTTAAAAGTTAACAGAGTTTTGAACAACAAGATAACCCTCTGTTATTAGGTAACAATCAGTTAAATGTACTTAACAGCTGGTTAAAAGATAACCGAGTTTTGAACAACCGGGCCCTGGTTGATAGTGTCATTGTGACGTTACTCCAAATAAATGGGTGAAGGCTTTCTATCATTGACATATCACCAGAAACATTTACAGGTAAAAAACAATATTTTCCATTGAGATATCCTAAACTCTTATGGAGAGATAACATTCTGTCAATAATAAAGAAGGACAATAGTTGAAGCTTGAAGGATACTCGCTGGTGATGAAGCTGATGAACTCTGATACACACTCCTGAACGCACTCCTTGGCATCTTTTGCAATCTGTAGGAGATAATGTTGGCATTCAGTTAATTCCAATCAGCATGGGAGTGAGTGAGTGAGTTTGGTTTTACGCCACTTTTAGCAATATTCCAGCAATATCACGGAGGGGGACACCAGAAATGAGCTTCACACAAATCAGCATGGGAGATACATTTAACGTCGGCGAGTCTACAGTATTGGTTTGCCAGTGTGCTGGGTTGCCAGTACCAGTGCCACACTCTTGTTTCATCTATGATCCCCCAAACCGATGTACTGCATCCACTGGCAACACCCACTCCAACAGATATTGTGCTGTATTATTATTACCAACATTAAAATACATAAAACCATTTTAGCACTAAACCAATTTTTACCTAGAAATAGAAATACCTAAATAATAATAACAATGGACAAATACTTCAATTATTTTTACCTGAAATAGGAATACCTAAATAATAATAATGGATAAATACTCAAATTACGTGAAGATCACAGTTCATTTGCATGCAGTTTTGGTAATGACAGTGAGTGAGTGAGTTTAGTTTTATGCCGCACTCAGCAATATTCCAGCTATTTGGTGGAGGTCTGTAAATATGCTAGTCTGGACCAGACAATCCAGTGATCACCAGCATGAGCATTGATCTACGGAATTGGGATACGATGACGTTTGTCTGACCACCTGATCCCAATAGTCGCCTCTTACAACAAGCATGGTAGTGACAGATTATCCCTGTGGACTGGCAACTACATATTACACAGTTGCTTTTCTAGGAGGTGGGATTCACACCTAAAAAGGTTCAGTCAAGTGAAGTATTTTGAGAAACTGCCATGTAATTAACATGAAGCTTATTTTAGAAAAATGATTTGGGAAATATTCTGCAATGACAAACTGTTAAACTACCTTTCCATTGGCTGGTATTGATTTCTTCATAATTCTTGCAACATTTGCAATGGGTAAAAATCGATCCTGCAAAGAAAAAACATCCATCATTCAATACAAGGATGTGAAAATAACACGAAAATTTCAAAATGTTCTTTTTCAATTTGTTAAACACAAAATGGTTCATCAGGTCACCAACTAATCCTTTCTTGTCGTGAAATGAGTTTCACTAGTCCAAGGATACCACTGACGTAAGTCGTTAATATTTATACCTGAAGTATGGGATAACATTGTTATCATCCAAGTCCCAACCTACCTGTTCTCTGAGTGGCTCATCTGTCTTGGCTTCTTCGTCCCCTTCCCCTGATGCTATCACCTCATCACCATCACCTGCAACAGATACTCTTATGTACAGGGGGCTACGGATCCACAGCTCCACAGACTATAGTACACTGAATTTTAGTGTCAACTTCCAACTACGGCTGCAGTGAGTTAGTATGTTTTTAAGCAGCTTTTAGCAATATTCAAACAATATCACAGCAGGGGACACCAGAAATGGGCTTCATACATTGTATCCATGTGGGGAATTGCAACTCTGTCTTCGGCATGACAGCGAGCGTTTTAATCATTAGGCTACCCCACTACCCCAAGTTACTGCTGTAAGTGTGGATGGCATAAAATACTGTTGACATCATTGTTCAAGCTATGCCACGGCAGCCTGTAAACGTCTAGAGTTGACTAGGCGAAAGGAGACTGGAAACATGACTGCCGATCCAGACAATCCGAGAGCGTAAGGTTTTTACACCACTTTAGGAAATATTATAGCAATATCACGACTGGTGACACCAGCAACAGGCTTCACACTCTGTATCTATGTGAGAAATCGAACCCAGGTCATGGACGTGATGAACAAACACCTGAACCACTAGGCTACTCCACAGCCCCCGACTATTTTGGACATACACAACACACTACACTATACTCCACAGCCCCCACCCAGGACTATTTGGACATACACAACACACTATACTCCATGTGATCCACTAGGCTACACCACAGCCCCCACCCCCACCCAGGAGTATTTGGACATACACAACACACTATACTCCATGTGATCCACTAGGCTACTCCACAACCCCCACCCCCACCCAGGACTATTTGGACATACACAATACATTATACTCCATATGATCCAAGGTATTGCAAAGTGTTCCTGGTGTGTTCTAACCCAGTTTGCCACGATACTGTATTTGTACTTACCTCCTTCCACCTGATACTGATTGCTGCCTGCCAGGAACGACTCACTTAGACTGTTGTCCCCGGAACCTTCAGCTGTCTCCATCCTGAAGTCAGACAAACCACATAATATTCAATAAAAGCAGTTGTGAAATTTCCTACTAAAAGTTGCTAAAATCATGAAAATGTCCCACTGACAACCCTTTCAAATAAAATGTAAATGGCATTCACACATTCACCCCATGAAGGAAACTAACATGTGCTTTCAACTTGACAACTGAATATTCTTAACAACAGGGGGTACAGCACATGGCCAAATTCTCATTTTTCTTAAACCTTCAGGGATTGGGAAAGGCATGGGTCATGGATCATTTTGCACATTAGAAAAAAAAATGGCCCATTAAAATTTTGAAGTTTACTATTGATACAAGGGCAGTGTCTCCGAAAAAATGGCGACTCACACGCTAACAGTTCAACATGTTTTGGTGCATGTCGTTTGTGTATACTGTGAAATAAACAAGAAAATGGGTGAGTTACCGCTACAAATTCTGAGCAGGGATTTTGGCTTGGAATCGTGAAATCACGATTTTTCGAGCTTCCGAAGACACTAGCTCCCAAAGTACTGCTTCGATTTTTGTGCTGTATGTCTCATTTTGTAGGTAAATCTATTGGCTTGAAATGTGTGCATACTTTAAATGGGGTAAATACAGGAGTATTGTTGAATTCGCCCTGAAACGAACCTGGTGTGGTGACCTCGTTACATCCCTTTCCTTTTATATAGTACTAAGACTGACTGACTGAGTTTGGTTTTACGCTGCTTTTATCAATATTCCAGCAATATCACGGCGGGGGACACCAGAAATGGGCTTCACTCATTGTACCCATGTGGGGATTCAAACCTGGGTCTTCGGGGTGACGAGCCAACGCTTTAACCACTAGACTACCCCACCGACCCTATAGTACTAAGACCCTATCAGTGACAGTATATACCTTGATGGCAGTTTTTAGCGTTACAAGCCCCTGTGCATTGAATAACAATAATCATATCAACATGTAGGTGACAAACTATAACTGTTCTAAAACATGTTTAATATTATGAGCATGAGTATCTTATCCAAGCAAAACAGGAGATAATCAACAGAACATAAACATCTGAATAGTAGAGCACTATTTGTTAGCATGTTTGGTTCATGCAGGTAACTGCCGGCTGCTTGGATTGTTGTTGGCAAAGGTATAAAGGACATGTACCATAGATAGAAAAAGTGAGGACTGTGTTCAAGTGTCTGTTGATGAAATGATGACAATCATACCTCCAGTGAGACAACAGTTCCAAGAAAAAACATCACCACTGGTGCTTGTGTGATGTGGACATTCAATATAAATGATTCATCATACTATGACCAAGAGGTGGGTCTTAGGCTACTAGTTATAGTAAACTGTTACCACATGTCTAATGCTATTCTTGGAATTGTTGCGTTTCTGTATTGGTGAATGAATAACCAGGAAACTATCCTCTTCAACTTGGAAAAAAAATCTGGTAACATTTTGAATGCGGAAAGGTTGGGATTTTGTACCCCTGCAGTATCGGGATTCACGGTGTACCTGTGAATATCAGCACATCGTTCTACAGGCAACATGTCGACCTAGTACGTCAAATTTCCGACAATTTGTCAGATCGAGCCGGTAGTCGGCTTTGGCGAGGTCATCTTACAAAAGAAAATGGCGGAGAAACCTGAAAATATCCGAAACTGTTTAAAAGAGTGAACTAGGGTGATCACGATTCCCATGTAGATAGAATATGGTTTGAAAGAGTTGCACGTGTAGTCTATTGGCCAAAGGATAATAACAACAAACCTGGGTGATTGAGACGAGCTTGAGAAATTGGTTGGTCAACGCACGAGCCAGTGAGATTGCAGCAGGGCCTAGCCACTCAGCGAAGAATGCAGTCAATGATTTAACAGGATACTAGTTTGCTGCAGACTTATTGCAGCAATTAAGGCAATAATAATATTTATACATAATATACTACTACACTCAGTTTCATCCTTTCTGTAACATATGTTACGTTCTAGAAATGGCAGAGTATGAATATTGTTTGATAGGAATGACGAGTTTCAAACAGCTCAAGTGAAATATCTAAAGCGTAATTAATATGTTGTAAGGAATACTGTGCACGGGTAAGTTGTTTTCAAGGAAAGTAGTGCACATTTGACGGAAAAGGGTGATGATGATAGAATCTTCACTGGACGCTTGAAAAGATAAAACTTGACACACAGAGAATGTAATGAATTCACAAGTGCTTTCCCTTTGATGTTGAGTAGTTGAAACAGAATTGTTCATTGATGTAAGAAGTATTTTAAACAAATTGTGAAACATATGACTTTCAGGTTCTGGAGTACCTGCAATGCTGCATGAACCATACTACATGATAAATAGTGCAAGTGTATTCAAGTGTTTACTCTTTGTTTTACCACCAAAATTATGAGATACTCATCTGTAACATTAATTTGTCCCAAGAGTAAGTGAGTGTTTACTTTATTACGACCTAAACGATGGACATTTAATTTCTCTTTGAAAATATTGCAGATTTCTACGCGAGTCGGAAGTGACGTTTGGGGAATTACCCGTCTGCAGTGGATTGACGAAACAAGACGAATTTATCGGATCCATCCAACGAAAAGACATAATGCGACTTACTGTTAAAGTACTGAACGGAGACGAATGTACAATTGCCGTGAGTTTAATCAGTGTATTCTTAGTCAACATGATCGATAGTCCAGAATACGTGAAAGCCAAAAGAATAGGAGGAAATCCCGTGTGTTTGTTTATCTTCGCCTAAGACCAACCTACCTCGGTGTGAAACCGTAAGTAGGTATTCATATGGTACTTAAAAGTAAAGCTTGATCGTGCAGCCACACTTGACCAGACTTTTTAGACTTCTACATTTTTGCCTTACAATGACATAGAGCGTTGTCAAATGTCATGTAGATTACTTAGATATGAGGGTAGTTACCAGCTTCTTTTAGGTGTATTACAAAGTCGATACTTCACCCTTGATGGATTGTGTGGCAGTGTAGCTTCCCAGTTGTTGACACTGGGCGGTGGAGTAGCTTAGTGGTTAAAGCGTTCACTTGTCACGCAGAAGACCAAGGTTTGATTCCCCACATGGGTACTATGTGTGAACCTCTCTAATTATTTGCATGAATATGGCTACTGACATAAACAATTAAAAACATGTAGGTATCTGTTGATGCTCAATCTTGCATATTTGGTTTCAAAAGGCGTATATGACAACATGGTATAATGTTTGTAACAAGATGTTAATGTAAGTTCACCGGTATTATGCATGAAAGTAAACCTGCATTTTCTGAGGGCTAACTCTTACTTAGTTTCTTGGAAAATATTTCTTTGACAACTGGTGAAATAATCACTTGCATTGGGTTTCTGGGTAAGAATACAACCTATCAAAGGCTTTTGGTGGACAGGCTAAGTGACTTAGAGTTGGATACAGTACAACCAGAAATTATTGAGAATTTAAGATTGTAATTTTTTTTTTTTCACTCATTACTCACGCATTAAATGTGAATATTAGCAGAACATAACTCCAGATTCAAAGATAGATGAACAGTTAGTATTTTGTCAAGTCACCATGGGCAGCAATGCAGGCTTCAATGCGGTGGGGCATACTACTGATCAAAGAAGTTAGAAAGTTGTGGTCCATGCTGTCCCAATATCGGACCACCTCTTCTTTCATTTCAGCAGGGGCGGTGGGGTAGCCTAGTGGTTAAAGCGTTGTCTCGTCACACGAAGACCCGGGTTCGAATCCCCACATGGGTAAAATGTGTGAAGCCCATTTCTGGTGTCCCCCGCCGTGATGTTGCTGGAATATTGCTAAAAGCGGCGTAAAACCAAACTCAGTCAGTCAGTCATTTCAGCAATATTTGTCAGATTTTTCTTATTGACACTTTCCTTCATAAGTCCCCAAACATTTTCTATTGGATTTAGGTCAGGGCTATAGCTTGGCCAATCTAATAATGTCATATTTTGGGTCCGAAACCAGGCCTGTGAATGCTTTGAACGATGTTTTGGGTCGTTGTCCTGCTGGAAAATCAAAAAATTTCCATAGAACACGTGAGCAGATGGAAGTAATGTCCCTCGAGAATATCTGTTTACCGCTCACTGTTCATATTCCCTTCAAATACACAGAGGGGCGTTGCCCCTAACACAGATATGCCACCCCACACGTTAAATTTCAGACTGTACTTTGGGCGCTGATACAAAGGTTTTTCAGTTTGTTTGGTCCAGAATTTCAGTGTATTAGGAAACAGCCACACAAAACTTTCATCTGAGTAAATCACATTGTCCCAGTAAAATTTCTATGCTGTAAGCACCACTTCAACCTTCGCTCCTTTTGTTCAGGTTTCATGGTTGGTGATGGAATTCCTCGAATTTCCTGCCAACCCATTGCATGCAGCTCAGTTCTAATTGTCTCCTTACAGACAGCCACAGTTCCACTATCAATCATATCCAGCCTTCAGTTTTCTAAACTCCTTCATTTGTTTTTAGAAACAAGAATACCAAGCCGCCTCCTGTCACCGACAGTCAATTTTCTGGGCCTACCTGCGCCTCCCTGGTGCTCAATGCCATATTTTTCAAAACACGAAAAACAGTGGACAAAGGGATGCCTGTTCTACTTGAAATCACTTTAGCTGATCTGATGTCCTTGTTATAATATTCTAAAATCACCCTCCACTTCTCTAAATCATCCATACTGAGGATCACTGAAAATGGCATCTGCTAGCAAGTAAACAAAGGGGGATAACTCTTCACAAACTAATGAAAAAGGATTAACAGAGTTGTCTCTCTTGATTGAAACCAAGCACTTGATAGCTGGTCAAGGTTGTTTATACTAGAAATCCAATTAAACATATTCCTAAAATTCTCAATAATTTCTGGTTGCACTATAAGTTAGAAGTAGGTTTGTTGCATGTCGTCATATCCCAATTGCATCAATACAGGAAAGAGAATATTCCACAGATTATTTTACGTCAAGGGTAGTGGTGTTCTGATGATCGAAAATAATAAAAAATCGATCGAAAGAAGGATTAAAAATAATTATCAATTGTAAAAGACATATTTTTGATTAATCAGAATTTAGTTCTATAAGTATAACACACTTGAATGAAGTAAAGTAACTATTAAATTTGACGAATATTCAGGATACTCATGAATGATGGTATATATATGTAATGATATAGAATACAATAATCAAGTAATGAGAAGAAGACAGAAAGCATTGTAAAATTTAACACTTTTATTGTTTAATCACAATTCCAGTGTCTTTCTCTGTATGACAGTATTAGTTATAAAAAACATAAATTGGAAAAAAAACCTGGGGAAAACCCCTTAAAATTGGTGATTACATTAAAAATGTATATACTTCGATTATAATCGATAATCATTCACCACAATTCCTCCGGTATCGATAGTGGATTTGGGTTCCGATTCCCAACACTAGTCAAGGGCCAGTTTTCTGGTAGTTCCCGTTACAGTATATCTCATACCTAGTCTGTAGTTTAAACTTGTAGGGGTGTCTATGGCATGCTGTATATTTACATGTTGACTTGTATATTACTATACGCTAAATTTTCTTAAGGACCTGAAGTCTTATGGGTCCTGATGGCAGTCTTGTGTTATTTATGTTTTCAGCTCTGCCCAATGGAATAGCTGAAAATTTTACTCTTGGGATATATTGCATGTGTGTGTTGCAGGCATCACCCAGCAGCTATGTCACTGACATCAAACAACAGGTGGCAGCCCTCATGTCAATTCCCATTGCTAACCAGAAGCTGCTGTACAAGGGAAAGCCAATGGCAGGTGAGGCTGTGATAGTTCTTCAATGTTTGAAAAAATGTCTTAAATATGTTTTTTTAAGCCTAATGTCCAGTGTGGATGGGATTGTTCTTAGAACTGTACTGTATTTAACATGCTGCCACCAAATCCCCCTCCCCCACTTTCATATTTATTTCCTTATGAGAAATGACCATACCCTCCCCACTTTCATATTTATTTCCTTATGAGAAATGACCATACCCTATATGGTCTTGGAATCAGTTAATATTTGATAAAATAGAACTGTCATTTTTTAATGCTCCACTCAACGAACTCACACTAACCCCCCAGTTGTGATAATTTTTGGTGCTGCCTCCTCATTCTGTCTTTTTTGTCACATCCCTTCCCCTACTCCTATCAATAAATAACCAGTCCTTCAGAAAAGTCACTTAATTTTAAGAAATTCCCCAAATGGATAGCTTGACAGTTGAATTTCTTTAGGGGTTACCCTTTGCCCTTCTAACTAACTCACCTGAGTAATATTTGCTTCCTTGGAATGAATTCATATAATCTTTTTAATATTTTAATTTCATTTTAAATTTTCCCAAGTTGATCATTTTAGGGTTAAAAAGTTGGGAAAGAGTTCCTTCCGTTCACCCAACCCTAAACCTAACCCTAACTTCAATTTTGGACTTTTAGTCATTTTGTGAATTCCCTTGTAATTGTTGTTTTAAGTTTGGTTTATAATTTTAGTATATTTATAAATATTATTTGGGATGGGGGTACGGGAGGAACTCTTACCAGATGGTGATTCAGATTGTTGTAGAAAACATTGTATGTGATCATTTGCATTTTGTGTAGCTAGACGATTAGGGAGTGTGTTCATCATCATAATGCTCTATTTGTTTGTGTAGACAGTAAACAACTGAGTGAGTACAATATAGAAGATGGCAGCAAACTGACAGTGGTTTCACGTCCCGGCTCGGCCACCTCAGCCTCTTCAGCTGACAGTGTTTCAAAAACAGTGTCTCCAGACACAGGTGCCAGTGCCCCTGTCTGGACCAAACTGCAGACATTCCTGCGAAGACATTATACAGAGAAGGATGCCGACTTAGTGCTTGCAGAATTCAGAAAGGTACATTGACAATTCGTCTGAAAACCACTGGACCCTATTGTTGTCCCTTCTATCCAGCCATTACAGTAACGCTATGGTCCTAAGTAAAGCAAGTCTAGATTTTCCACAGGTTTCAAAACTCCAGTCTCACATGGACTGATGCTTGTTTTTATCAAAGCTGGACATTTTCATGACTAAAATAGGTAGTCATAATAGATCTTGGGTGGAACAAGGGAGATAACTTGAGGATAGGGTCTGCTATGTGTTGATGTGTAAACAGACCTTGCTTTTAGTCAGTACCTACTGTAATGTAACCTGACAACATTGCTTTTGACTCTCTGGGCCTGCTTACAGTTCCACTGCTTCCAAAGAGCAACATATTTTGTCATGTTGTTTGTTATATGCATTTAAACAACTGGAACCTACAAACACCTTCATACATTAAGTTTGAAATAGTTTAAAGTTTAAATTTTGCATGGTGGACAGTCTGATTCTTGAAATGATGTGTTATAAGAATTAAAATGGATGTGAGTTAAGTTTCACATGAATTTTGCAGGAATTAGTTTCAGTGATTCACAAACATTTCCTCATGTCTCAATGTTTTGGCATCCAATCACAATTTTTAATGACTTGTTAATCTTGTCTGATATTTTTGGAACATTTTTAACTGGATCACTAATTTCATTTTCGTTTTACCCTTTGCAGGATTTCAACAAAGGCCTGGCCAGCTTGAGTTTAGATGACATAGAGAGACTAGCCGCTTCTAAAATGAGAGGCACAGGAGACAGATAGTACTTAGTGATTGTGTGAGAGAACGACGCAAAGACTCGAAACTCAATGGTGGTGATAATGTCAATGCCTAATCATGTGATTAGCTTGAAGCTAACGTGTCTGTTACCATGGTTACCAATAGCATGATGTGAAATCCGACTTTCACATGGAAGTCATCCTGATTAAATCATTGGAGTACAAGGAAGTTTGTTTTTCATTTTGACTTTGCATTGCTGATCGAACATGTGATACGTGAGTGTAATGTCAGAACCATCTAATTGATCAGGATAATGGTGATTATGAAAATCTATTTCTTAACTTGCTATGATAAAGTGCATTGAGGACATCAAACTCATCATGACTGTTGCAGTTGACGGTGTTGGTGCAGTAGATATGAGTATAATGATATAAATGATACGCATGTTTCATTATGTAGCATGTCATTCTGATTTGCTACCCTCAAAGACTGGGGGAAAGGACAACATTCAAGATCTGGGTTAGAATTGATCTTTAGTAACCCATGCTTGTCGTAAGCGGCGATCGGGTGGTCAGGCTTGCTGACTGGTTGACAAGTCATCGGTTCCCAATTGCACAGATCGATGCTCATGCTGTTGATCACTGGATTGTCTGGTCCCGACTCGATTATTTACAGACTGCCACCATATAGCTGGAATGTTGCTGAGTGTGGCGTAAAACTAAATCACTCACTCAGTTACACATGTGGAAAAAAATGGATATTTATTTACTTTTGAAAAGGAATATGCTAAGACTGATATGCAGACATACACAACTATCTTACATTGAGACTTTAGAGTATATAAAATATGAAATAGATCATCTATCCCCTGCATGGTGTAATTCCTCTCCTTGGTGAGTCTCTTAACATATTTCATTCCCAAGCCAAGTTTTGAGGAAGTTCTTCTAGTTATTACTTATTCACACTACAAAGAGAAAATGAAGAGAAAGGTGTGAAGTGTCAACACTGCAGAGAAACTTAAATGAAGGCAGCCTTTTGTTCAGATAACATGCAATCAATTTGTAATGTCATGAACAATTGATGGCATATATTTCTGTGATGTTGTGTGACATCAGTTGACCAATCAGCATTGAGGATGGCTAAAATGCACTTGTGCAAATATCAAAGTTAATACACCAGATCATTTCGTCCTTGTTTGTAATATTGTTTAATTGTATCCCATATGTATATCTCTGTATCATGTTTGTCTTTACACTTTATAAGTGAAGTAGGTGGAGAAATGTATGATTGAAGGTGTATTTATAGTAAGAGTGAGGAAATAGTTAAGCATATGAAGATGGCAGCTGTAATTTTGTACAGAGGGCCCACACTGATCACTGGATGTGAGCAATCCTGTGTATCCCAAGTAGCAGGAACTGATGTGCATAGTAGTATCCCTCATGTATGCAACCCATTACAGACTGTTACAGTTGTTTTGTAAGTCACCAGTGTGGTGGGGGCAGCAGTGCATCTTGCTAGGTGCAGGCTACTGTTGCGCTTATTTGATCAGGCTGCTGACTGATTCCCGCTTCTACCAGTGAAGATCCAGGTTAGAATTGATCTTCAGTAACCCATGCTTGTCATAAGAGGTGACTAACATGATTGGGTGGTTGGGCTCGCTGACTTGGTTGACACCTGTCATCGTATCCCAGTTGGGTAGAACGATACTCATAATGTTCACTGGATTGTCTGATCCAGACTCAATTTCTTACAGACCGTCACCACGTAGCTGGAATATTGCTGAGTGCGGCATTAAACAACAAACCTACCAACCAATGATTCCTGCTTCACAGATCTCGCATGCATCTTTGATCCTTATGGTTTTAGTTGTGTCAGGATAGCTTACACCAAACTCTGTCCTTATCCTTTGGATCGCTTTGTGATTAAGCTTCCCTTTACAATCATTAGGGTTATGAATCCCTTGTTGATGCTTAGGGTTTGTTGTGAGGTTGGGTGTTGGTCAGCACTATTTTTAAAGCATACATGTCACATTTTGTCAAGTTTCAGGTTTCATAGGTGTACTGTTACACACTCATACCGTGAGGAGTGGGCAGAATAGCTGAGGTGTATTAAATGATACAGCTTAATAAATCTGTTATTCCAGAACTTGGTTAATCCGGGTGATTTCACTGGCAGTGGTACGATTCAGTCACTTGTATAGCGTCAGCTATGGTGTTAGACGTTCACTCCAAGATGCTTCATAATCAGGTCGCTCCAGTTGTAGGGTCGTGAAACCTTCAGTCAGATCTCTGCCCTCAAACAGGGTCATGCCTCTGCAGGTCAAGGCTAAATTCAAAACTTGAAAAACCTTTTTACCTTGTGCACACAGCTTAGGCAAGGAAGATGTGGAATTGGCCTTAAACTTATATTGTCACAGTACTGATTTTTAACCAATCACAACCAATGGTGATTGTCGATTGTAAAATTAGAAATAGTTGTGTAGAATTTACTTGATGTTCGTCAGTTGTTTACCTATTCTACTGATGTTGTGTCAGGGATATTCTGTGTCAACACTGGGGCGAAATAAGACTAATTGCTTGGATTGGATGTCATGAAAATAGTACCTGATGTTATCATTGATTTGGAGTAGTTCAAAGCTAAAAGGGGCCTAGTGGTAGCCTAATGGTTAGAGCGTCTGCTTGTCTTGCTGAAGACCAGGGCCTAGATTTTCGAAGCTCTCTTAGAGCTAAGATAGTCGTAAGTTAATGTTAATGTATGGCACTTACGATTATCTTAGCGCTAAGACAGCTTTGAAAATCTAGGCCCAGGGTTTGATTCTCCACATTGCTAAAAACAGTGTAAAACCATACTCACTCGCTAAAGTTTAAAGTTACGTAAACAATTCAACATAGTTTTTGTCCTCCAGGTTTTGTAAACATGGTGGAAAATTGAAATGTCCTTATCCATAGTTAAGTGGTATGTTTGTGTATGTGCCTATATACTATTATTCTGTTGCAAAGTTGCATCCTATAACCGTGTAAGGATCCGCTGGTCATTAGTTTTAATCCCATGCTAATCCTTAATAACTCGTGGTGTGTCAGCACCATACCTATAGAGGGTCTCCCCAGGCTGCTAAACATCAACACACCATTGGCAGTGGGGTAGCCTGGTGTGTTAGCCTAGTGGTTAGAGCGTTTTTGCTCTTCATGCCGAAGACCCAGGTTCAATTCCTCGCATGGGTACAATGTGCGAAGCCCATTTCTAGTGTCCCCTGCTGTGATATTGCTGGAATAATGCTAAAAGTGGCGTAAAACCAGACTCACTCGCTCACTCAACAAACCGAGATATAACTGGCATGTTCCAAGCAGTCTCCAGCCAAACCAGCTCAACAAATGGGGGCAGGGATTTGGCCTAGCGGTTAAGTGTCATCATCACAAATTTTCTCTCATTCCTCACATGGGTACAATTGTGATGCCCTTTTCAATTGTCCCAAAAATGTTTTTATTTAGTAGACTATAGCTGAAGGTTGCATAAATATGTTAGTCTAATGGATGATTTTATGAAGCGATTATGTGACATCACTGTCGATATTCAAGATGTTTGAACCCAATGTTTATGGTAATGCTTGAGTTTTATGAATGTGTGATGTTACAATGGTTACAGAGACAGTGTGGAATATGTATTACCTGTGCCAAAAACTAAACATCTGCATCTGTTAATTTTAATGAGCACTGTTAAATCCCTATGTTGCCTTTGTATGAAGTAAATGAAAGTGTCAATAAAAGATAAAACAAATTTCTAACAATGTCATTCTTGTGTTGCAAACATGTTACACAATGTTACCAATGTTTTATAAACCTATAACCTACAACCACTTTGGGCCATAGTACTGTAGCTTTCTGGTGTCTCAGAACCTTATGAGAAGAACTATTTTCATGTGAGACACAGGACTTTTGAATTGTAAGACCTGCTTTCAGATTTTTCAAGTTGAATATGAAGACTGCTTTTACAATCAAATTGTATGAATAGCCTTTTGATATGCATCTAAGTTTGATGTTCGACAGGGTAAAAGTCATTATTAGTTTGCACATAATCTGAAGTGAACCTGCATCCTCACATATTTGAAATAAACGCTGAAGACCCGGGTTCGATTCCCCACTTGGGTACAATGTGTAAAGCCCATTTTGGGTGTCTGGAATATTGCTAAAAGCGGCGTAAAACTAAACTAACTCTCTCACTCAGTCTTTTATTTCATTATATACAGCGACGAAAGTATTGTTTCACTACACGTGCCAATTTTGTCTTATATTTTGTTTTATTTCTTGCATTTAGACAGTCAATATGGAAATTAAAACACCCTTCCTTAGTCTTGTTGAAAATAGAAAAACATAAAGTTAGAGATTTAACATTTTCAGTCATCAAATCAGTGTATAATAATATCAATAGTTTGGATTGACCTTCTTATACACTGTGAAAATCTGGCTTTCAAATGGTCTTGACTCTTACACTAATGTTGGTTGACACATGTCATCGGTTCCCAATTGCGCAGATCGATGCTCATGCTGTTGATCACTGGATTGTCTGGTCCAGACTCGATTATTTACAGACCGCCGCCATATTGCTGGAATATTGCTGAGTGCGGCGTAAAACTAAACTCACTCACTCACTCACTCACTCACTCACTCACACTAATGTCTGAGGTGACTAACAGTATTTGGTGAACACTCTTGAGGACTTGGTTGGTGCATGTCAGTGCATCCAAACTGCGTGGATCGATGCTCATAATGGATCACTGGATTGTCTGGTCCAGACTTGAATAATAGTAAACCACTGTCATAGTGCTAATCTTGTTAACCAACAAACACTGGCTGTGACACTGACTTCTATTTTAGTTTCTGGATGCCAGGGTATGTTTGGAATCCTGCTGAACATGGCATTACAGGATAAAGCAAATACAAAACATGGCATTATGATAACAATTTATTGACATTTTGTACAATTTTTACAACAAGAATGTGCAGATTGTGTACCATGTACACATTGTGTTCCTTGAATATTTTACAAACTCCACAAAACAATGACATAACATTGCAGCACTTGATAATGTTTCTGAGTGGCAACAGAGGCATTTGATGCAGCTGCCCTCACTGAAACTCAGGTAACCTGTTAGCACTGGAATAACATACTTAGTTATGGAAGCTTAGTATCACCAGATACGTAAACATTTATGGTATTTCAACTTTTA